TATGTTACCTTGTTCTTAGCTGTTGCGACCTCTTTCTGAATAGCAGCTGCTCCTTGAAACTAGCACAGCGTGGAGTTCTGGTCAGGAAGGGCAGAGGTAAGTTTGAAGAACCCTTCATCATATTGCAACAAATCACCAGTGCAAAGTTCATGTTGAAGCAAAGAAAATGAGCCACAACAGGTAAGGGAGGTACTAAACTGAAGATGGGACATGCCATGCTCAACTTTGACCATAGCACACAATGGAGACTTTGACAGGAAGCCCTAAGAACCGCTACAGGTGTAGCACCCAATACCCAAACTGAGGTTGCACACATGGCAACTGAGCTTCTACTTTCAATAATGTGCACTCAAAACTCAAGCTCTCACAGTTGGTTCCTTGGAACCAACTGGAAAAATCTATTGGGAGTTGAAAGAGCATGACATGTGTAGGAGAGAGATGATCAAAGTGATGATGACACTTTTGTGTTGTTGGTCAAAAATCATCATAAAGAGCACAGTACTCTTTCACCTACAACAAGTTGATTCTAGCAGCCAGAGTTTATCATAAAGGGCAGCTAGAAAATCGAAGCACTAGCTATAACTAAATTGTTGCACTAACTTATTACTCTACCAAAAGGTAAAAAGAGAAATAAAGGAAGATGGACATGACCGTGCCTCGTGGCTCAATTTCCTGACAGACTAAGGCTGACTACTCTCGGGCCCACATACCCTTTTGATGTGAGATTGCTCCAATCTTACCCCAGGGATTATCTGAAGGAAACATCCATGTTAAGCGGATATATTTGAATTTAAGTACTGACTAGTTCCCTGGCAGTTTAACTGCTGACCAGGAAGAAAAATCGCCAGCAGCTGTGCCTGCAGTAAAATTTGAACAAGGGCTTTCTTCAAGCAAAGCTATTTATTAATTAATTAGTAATGGCAACTATAAAGATTAACCTCACCTTTCCGGTTCGAGTCGCTGTGGAGGCTAAAGTACTGGCTCTCTTTCAGATCTCCGCTTTAAGGGTTGGTGTCTAACAGCTTGGAAAGTGGAATATGAGGTAATGGTCTTCCTGTTTAGCAAGCTGCCTTGCAGCTCAAACCACTTTAGGCGGTGACTGGCCTAAATTATGACGAATTCGGCCCACGAACAAATGTATAGATTTATCTGTCAATCAAAGGAAACCTGTTTTCAATACGTGCTGCATGGCTATCGTTTTTGCGTGAAGCACATTTTGGAGGATCCAAATGCGCCATATAGGCGATGTGAATTCAAGGGAGAAAGCTTTTGTTTTCTGCCTGTTTCAACCAGTGTTCAAGATCCAAGGTTGTTTGGTCAATCCAGGTTCGTTGCTGACTTTGGCTTTTCAGGTTTTGTAAACTGCACAAGATTGAAAACAGTGTTTTGCCTCAGGGAGAGTATTCTCTTTCAGTGTTCGCAGCTACCATGGCTCATCACCTGGAATTTGCAGGTGATCGCCAAAATAATCAGATGACATATCCGGATAGAGACCATGATTTTTCTACTTTAAAAGATTGTACTCGAAAGGATACTACTATATATGGAGTAGAAAAGACCGGACACTGGGAGAGAAAAACAGTTTCCTGCCTAGTTGACATAGGCTCGATAAATTTCGAAACAATGAGCTTGAGTTGTGGCTCTCACAAGGCAGAGAGCTGGTCTTTGGATACAAGGCCTCAAAAATCAAGATATATTGGAGTTTGTAGAAGGCCCTGGGGCACGTATGGTGCAGAAATCAGGACTCCGGCAGGCAAACGGCTGTGGTTAGGAACATATCTTACAGAAGACGCAGCAGCACATGCCTACGATGACGCCGCTCGGACATTTCGTGGAAAGAATGCAGCTACAAACTTTACTCACAAGCCATCTGCTAAAATAACAAAGACTCACAAAGTTGGTAGACGATTAAAGGCCGGGAGCGGGACAGCACAGCACCGGAAGTCTGATGAAGATCGTGGAATTGAAGGACTACTCGCTTTATCTGGTGCTACGGAGGTCAAAACTGGATCTGGCAGGAAGAAACGAAAGTTTAAAAGTATATCGAGTGTTACATGCTCTACAATCTGAGATAACGTTTATCAGTTGTTTTATTTCAGATCTCAAAGCAGGCGTCTTTTGACGTCGCATGTTGTCTTCAGGGACAACGACATTGCTTAAAATTGCTAGAGTGCTCCTTATGAACAGCTCATAGAGCTCATTGTTTTATTTCTTACCTTCTGTGTGGAGAGTGTGTGGGGGGAGAATGTGACCCTGGTGAATCAGGCGGTGGAGAGTGTGAACTAGTGGCTGTCTGCATGGAGGTCCGAACCATCAGTGATTCTGCCTCTGAGATTGAAGTAGGAACTATATGTCTTGGTGTTCGTGGTGATGCTAAGCTGGCTCGCAATCTGAAAAGACATATCAGGTCAAGAGTTCTATCGTCATCGTGACGTGTCCTCTTTGTTCTAATGCAGAAAAGACTTACTTATTGTAAAGCTCGCGTTGCTGGTCGGATTCGTCCCAGATTTCTTCCTGAGAAAGAAAGAAGAAGAAGAAAAAAAAAGCCTTAGAAAGTAGCATGAAGAAAGATGTCATTATTCACCTGCAAGAGCTCTTCAATAACATCTTCCATCGTGATAATCCCCACAGCTTCGTCATCGTTTACACTTACCAATGGCAACACATCCAGTATGTCCTCAGAGGCATTTCGTTCTGATTTTGACTTCCAAGGGGTGCTCTCACCATCAGGGGCTGGATAAAATTCCTGTTGGATCTCAGTCACTTGCGAGCCTGTTAGTCAGGACGCGAAGTTGATTTATTCTAATAAATTATACAGAGGTTTATCCTTGCAGTTTGTACCTGAACAAAATGAGATGTTAGCTTTAATACCTTTCTTACTAAATCTTCTACTACTGAGTCTTCTGTCCAGAGAATGTTTCTTTTTTAGGCTTTCGGGCTTTAATCGCGTGTTCCTCACAACGACTGCCATGTGGCTATGTCCTTTTTGAAACTCGTTTAAAATGTCATACAACGGCATCTTTTCTCCAACCCTGATGAACGTGTACACATACACCGAACAACAAAGAAAAATTCTAGTGCGACTAGTCACAATTTTACGCACCTTGGTATCTTTCGGATCGTAAGATTAATAAGTGGAGTTGCAGTTTCGGGACGAACTGTAAGCAAGGTCTTGACCTATAAAAAATGCTATTTAGCCGGACCTCCTTTCTCTGCCTACCAGTATCAGACCAACTATATTAGTTGGTCTTTCAAAGTACACCGGCACTCGACTATGTCCTCGATCTATAATGGCCTTCATCGTCTCTCTGCAAGTGAAAACACCAAATTAAAAGAATTTATATGCATGATTTGCACAAACTTAGTACAAGTCAAGCTTTACGTTGATGTCGACACAGAAGGCTTTAGAGATGGGAGTCATTGCGTCTTCTGCTGTTTTTTCTGTCAAATCTAATGCTCCAGTTATGATTGTCGCCTCATCGTGAGTTAGCTCTCCGCCTTTTCCAGCCTACCAATGGTCGATGCTAAAAGATTTATATGATTTGGCAGATCCTACTTCTTTGTCATGAAGCCCGACTAGTGTCTTGAGCTCTGCTCTACGAAACAATGCAACGTGGTCTTTTCCAAGAACAGAATCCAGTAGCTGAAATTTCCTTGTGATGAGCAAAATCATGCAAAGTACTTGCTTACCTTGCTTATTGGATAGGAGATTGGAAAGCATATCCAGACAAGAACGCGGACGAACGGGGTCATCTTTGCGCCAATTGCCAAGCCATAACGAGAGCAAATGGCTTGTGGCAGTATCTAAGAGAGGAAAGTCAGTTGTTTATCAATCCTCGTGTTTTGTAGCAACACCTACTTCTCCAAATAGGAGGATAAGAGTGACTGAAATCAAGACTGCACTCCAAGCGTTCACGACTGCATCCAAGAAAATCGGAAGTGCCTCCATTGCGAGAGCATTACAGATTAGCAGCGTGCATAGCAAGAGGTGTTGCTCTTTAACCACAGGGTATATTATCTCTGTCAATCGGACACATTGTTAAGCTCATCAGGAAATACTGGAAACAGTCTTACCGGCGTGCTTGCGATCTTGCAGGGATCCAGACTTCATCAGAACCTCTAAGTCTACAAGTTCCAGTGACATAAGGCCAAGCGTGAGACCCGACATGATGCCAGCGAATACCACCAAACAGATGCTTAAGACTATGTATGCCCAGAACATGCCTCCACAGCAATGTTCGTGGCTCGCCATCCTCGTGAGAGTGTTTTCTTCCTTAAGCAGAATCCAAAACCTAGCAACCGTTTTAAATGCAACAATGGAGGAGCAGCGGACGCGCAAAATTTCAAATAAACTTTTTCTCATTAAGTACTGCAAGTCTGGATCGATTGACGTGTACCACATGGGACAAAACAAAACACAATGGCATAGCAATTTATAAATATTATACCTAGTAGTTTAATAGAAGCGGGCCAAAGCACTCACTAAAGAGATCGCTCAGTGCAAATTGAACTTCCATAGAGCCATGTTCACAACCCACCAAGCTCGTCAGCACTGGAAAAAAACTACTGAGATACTTCTGAAATGGGGTGTTGCGAAACCGGCTAAGAGCTCTAAGAGTCATGATGACGAGTGGGGCTCGAGCGGTAAGCTCCCTCCTTCTCGTGTAGCTCACAGGGATCATCCACTGTAGCTTGAGGCGCTGAGGCTGGTGAGTGAAAGTGGACGTTTTAGCGTAAACTTGCAAGACCTCTTTGCAAAATTCCACAAAACGGGCCTCGACGTCCACGTTCTTCAGCAGCACCGAGTTGTCCTCGTGAAGTCTCTGGAGTATTTCCATATAGGCCTGCGAAGACTCGCTCTCCAGCCACAGTAAAGGTGGATCGCCCATCTGGGACGATAACTGAAGCTTGTAGATCTTGTTGCGTAGAAAGAGATCGTTGTTAACTTTGTGAGCGTGCACCACTATCACGTTTAGGACTCCAAGAAGCAGTGTCACGTGAGGCGATGCCAGCTTCGGCCCAAAAGCGTCATAGATCTCCCTTACTGCCTGGAGGTTAGGATACAAATCTATAGAAGAATAAAAATTGAAACTATAACAAAGAAGCTTGCCTGTACAAGGAGGAGCTGGACTGTTGAGTGGAACTTCAGCTCGGCCAGAAAACACTGCAACTTGCTATCTTCATCAGATGTAAACCCTTCAGATGAAGCACCCTCCATAAAAGTTACTATCTGCATTACGTTTGGAAACGTCTCCTCGGCCACTGATTGTAAGCCTTGTAATATGTCCACCCAGTCAACTTTGGAGAACTGAGGCCCTCCCTTGACGATGAGCCGGACGAAAGAGGCAATGGTAATTCCAACGATTTTTTCATGGTGTATTTTGAGGAAGTCCTTCATCAAAGATAGTACCTTACGCATAAATGGACGAACAACTGGGAAAAACTTCACGTAGAGCTCAACCAGTGGCTGCAAGGCCAGACTACACGTTTCATAAAGCCAGGCGTCCATGTCTTTTTCACTATCCACGTTCTGAAGCTTGATCGATCGCCTTGCTGAATCAAAGAGAGGGAATAAGACAGTGTTGTATATCTGTTCCCAAGAACTTGTTGAGAACACATGTCCATGGCACTGTAAGACGTCAAATAAGACGTGCACGGCACTCTTACGAATCGCTGTGCGTGAGTCGTATGTTAACTCCGCCAATCCTAGGACAAAATTCAATAAAACCACGAAACTAAGATGCGATGTTATTACCTGCAAGCAGAGGAAACCAGAAGAAGAGATGATCATCTTGCTCAGGGCCACTTTCAGTATTTGGAACTTTTTCAGGGCTGTTGCGACAAGTACTGAGCTCTCCTTCACCAAGCTTTAAGGCGCAAAAACGCAGAAATGCGAGAGCATTGAGGCTGATATCGTCATTAAACTTGTTGTTTATGAACGCAAGAAGGCAATTCACACAGTCCGTGAATATTGTGTTCTCAGTTTCAGTAATGTGTTGAAAGTAATCTCTGACAACTTTCTCCACCGTTTCAAATGCAAGATGGACAATGCCGCTATCTCTATCTGTTGCGGCAGTAGTAAAGACCTGTAATTGATAAAGCATTGATACCTTGTCCAAAATGACTCTCAAACCTTTGTTACCATAAACGTAATTTTCCAGCCAGATTTCACGTTGCCAACTCGAGTGCACACCATTTGAGAGACACAGCGGATGATAAATTCTCGTATTTCAACAGAGGCACTTCTCTGCATGATGATGACAAAAGGCCGCATAAACTGATTTTGGAAGTTGTAATTTGCAAGCTCTTCACGATCCATGAATTTCATTGCCAACTGCCGCAGAGAGTCCATGGCATACATAGCAACTGAGAAATTGCTTGAACACCCAACAGTAACAAAATAGTCAGACAATGTATTCCACATCCTGCTCCAAACCAGCCTGATCCGATTCATATTGAAGTGTCTATACAACAAGCAAGAAAATACGTCACAATCAAATCACTGAGTGACCTGAATACTTACGAGATTTCCACAATTTTGGTGAGACTGAACACTCGTGGATCAGTAGGAGATCGCAGTTCATCCATGGACACTTTGCACAATGCTTTTACAAAGTCCACAATTCCTTCACTACTTAAGGCTTGACTTCGAGTAAAAATTTTGTTAGCTTCGTTCGAATTAATTTGACCAAGCAAACCGAGATTTGAAACGAGATTACACATTTGCTCTGCTGTGACTGCACCAGGTATTGGGCTCTGCCTGCCACCAGTACTGTCGTATGATCCTCGGCGTGCAGCTAGAGCAGCAAAATGCAATCTTCCTTTTCTTTTTGGAGCAGTTGATAGCTTAGTCTTTTCTGGATCGTTTGAAAAAAAAGTAGCATCGGGAAGAGCACCTTCGCCGATGAGATAAAGCTGATCAAATCGTGAAACGCATGTAAGTACATGCTCCCATGCGTCCTGCAAATAATTTCCATATTCATCTGCAATATTGAGCAAAACCTAAATATTTGGCCAGGGTAAGCACCATAACGTCATCACACTAAATTTACCTTGATAGCATTCACGTTTTTCTGCTTGATATCCACAGGAGAATGTAGCAATGTAAACTTTGCAAGAGAAGTCACAAAAGCATCCCGCTGTATTTGCATGCGCATCACTGAAGTGATATGTATCGCATGCCTGAACCCTTCCAGGCACGGTGAAGTCACAACCTCGTCGTCACTCTTGTCTAGTGGGACACTAAGCCCCGCAAGCATGGGTCCCCATGAAACTTCTACCATTGGCTTTACAATTTCCACGTCTATCGCAGCATAGTATGCAGATCTAGTACAAAATGAAGGCAATGCTATCAAAACAATAAGGACAACAGTGCATCTTACTGTGGTTTCTCAGCTTTTTCTTTGAGTTGATCTTGCATATAACGAATTGCGTCGTCACTGGACTCAAACAGCTTCTCTTCTTTGGGCTTTCGGATAACTATGTTCAAGATGTTGTCAATCCCAGCAGGAAATTTATTGTCCTTCCCAGCTGGTTTGGTGACCGGAATAACATTATCCGCTTTCATTTTAATTTCTTTTTTTACTATACGGTCATATAGTCCTCCCATAAACTCTTCAAGAAGATCCTTTCCATCGTCAATGCCTCTGTTATTTTTTATAAATGCAGCTTTAGACATCTGTAATAGCACATGAGTGAGATCTTGGAAGGAAGTGGAAGCATTTGTTCACCTTATCTTTCACCATCACGTTGTGCGCATCAGTGTTAAGCATAATTACAGAATATGCGAGGACATAAGCAGTGTCGGCACTCGTGAAAGCTTTGGGATTACAGATGCAATATCGCTCCGCAAATTTTTCCATTATCCTGTCAATCTTCTGAGCCTCTCCAGGGAGCCTGAATCCCATCAAGAATGTTCGTATCGACTCGTCAAACTCCATATTATGAAAGTTGAAGGAGTCAACATATGCATGCATGACTTTTAACGAAAACTCCTCTTTTTCACCCAGGTAATCCCCGATCATGCTCTTGTTGAGACCTGTGGTACTCAGGAGGAACTTGGCAACCTCTTCAGGATTTTTCTCCACTTTCTTGGCTTTTACAAGGAAATCAATACCCTTGTGAGGCTTCTGGTTGAATACTTTGATTCCTTCCTGCATAGTGTAAGAAGCTTGTAATTGAATGCCCAGTCCTTCATGCATCCCTGGTGTATAAGGTGGAAAGTTACAGAAGAAATTCACAGCGCTGGCACTTATTTACAATGAAGCAGGGATAGAGATTACCTGAAGCTCAAGCTTGTGAACACGTCTTTGCTCAAAAGTAACTGCACTTTCAGTTGATGCCTGATCTGTTTCTAATGGTTCAGCGATCTCATCCCCGACTTCTGTAGCACTAGCTCCTGCTGTGGATACGCTTGCAGCGTCCAGTTTGCCGGTTTCCACGTCTGAGCTGTTGAAGTACGGAGAGTTCAAGGCACCAAGTTGCTTCTCCATCCAATCTCCCATCGCCTTTAATATTCCTGTCAAACACTTCATGGCAGTAAGCTTCAATGTTGCATCTTGAGCAGCTGTTAATCCTGTATCTGCACTGGCTGGTGCTCCTTGAGCACTTTTGAGTAAGCCATTCACAACCCTATAGAAAAAATTACTTTAATGGACTAAGTGGAACATAAAGCTTGCCTTTCAAAGAGATTCGTGGACTCCACATCACAGTCGTAGTTCACGAACATATCAGGAAGTACCTGTGGATCTGCTGATAGTTTTTCAATGAAACATAAGACAGTCATCTTCTGTTGGTAATTTGGCTGAATAACATTTTCAATGACTCTCAAAACGATCATTGGAAAAAACACACCGATTTCCGTTTTCAAAGAGGCCCTGAACTTTGCTATAAGGCTCAAAAAAATAGAGCAAGACATCTGAAAAACCGATAATATGTCAGATACGGCACAGTTTTGCATGAGCGACAAGCACAGGTACTGCTTGATTGCATCTAAAAACCTGCAGAACTCAATTTGGTAATAGTAAAACAATTAAAAAAAAAAAATGAGAACGTACTTCGGATTGAAACAAAAAGATGTGCCAGCATTTTCAAGGACAAGTTTCAAGAGCTCCAAAGCCAGCACTTTTGAGCGTATAGCTAAGGGATCTGGTGTCCCTTCTTGTTGAGGCTTTTTCATCGACAGGCAGCAAAGAGCTCTGAAGACCAAGAAGGCGTCCCTCTTAAACTTGTTGCCAATCTCCACGTCCAGTT